ACAACTCAGCACAACACAGTAGATATACCAATAATATACATCGAAGTATAGAGTGGGGTCCATCGAACGAGTCGACTGGGAATCGATGGACCAATCAAAACACTCGATAATAAATATTCAATGGACCAATCATATATTCCGATAAAACCAGGAGGTTCACGAATCATCTCCCCATATATTCGATAGTGGCTTTGTACGATTCGTGTTTGCCGATTTTCAATTAAATCAACCGCAAACACCAACATTTCACTCGAAACGACAAACGCTACCCAGTCTTATATATCACCGATAAAAAAATACATTGAACGACCAATACTCGACGACAATATCGCCAAGTTATCATTGCCAATATATATATATATATATATATGGGTGGTATAGCCAAGATATATGGGTTCTTCCAATACATAAAGAATAGAAAACACACGGTGCTACAGTAAGGGTACGCACAATATAGTCGATATAATCGCCAAGTTGGCCTAAAAATATATATGAAAACGGATTTGTACCTGTCCAGAGCCCAATCAATTCCTTGGGCACGCCTCCATCTTGATGCAGTTGCCGGATGGCTTCGAGGGTAGCCGACCACCCCGCGGGGTACTGCCCCACTTGACCCAGCAGCCCAAAGAGCATTTCCCACGTCGGCACTGACAAAGAATGCATGTACATGAGGTTGGCTTTGAGTAGCAACTGCATGCCCGTGGCCACCCGTTCGGCCAGAACTTGCCACAGGGGACTGTCCAGCGTCTAGTGTTTTTTTTTATAAGTAAGTTTCTAAGCAACAAAGGGCGATGTTATTGCAAGGGATGTAAGTACCTTGAGCAACACTAACGTCTCGAGCAGCAACGGCCGAGAGTCAGCGTCGTGGAAGAGACGGATGCACACGCGAAGCACATTTACCACGGCCTAATCACATCGAAACGAGTATATTTCAATGCCAAAAGATGACAAGAATAATAATATATACACGAAATTAACACATTCAATCGTGTTTAATGTATAAGATTTATTATTTATCAAAAACGACATTGGTCTCCACATCTTGACCAGAATAATTCAGCATAAAAGCAACTAGCCACGCTATGTACAGTATATATATATATATATATGTCGAATACATTCTCCAATCTGTACAGTATATATATGTCAAATACATTCTCTAATATGGACTTTTGAGTCGAATCAAATGAACTTGACAAATGTATATGAGAATTTCCTTGTCACTCCAGGTGCACTATCGAGACCACATTTCAACCAATCATGGACCAGTATTTTGCACAACAGAGTAGCGCAGTCAAACAATTCATCTTTACATTCATATACCATACATTGCATAAGCTTAAAACCTGGCACGTCCCAAATTCCACCGAAATGGACAATGCATTTTCCACCACACCACCAAACTAATACCATATACATATCTCTCTAAACCAACGCAAATATATACATATATATAATTTTTAAACCTATATATTCCAACCAATACATAAATATACATATTATCAATCAATTTATATATACATATACCAACCAATCTATGTATATCTCAACCAAGATATGTGTATAATAATATACATAGTCCAACCAATCGAGACATAAATCATATCTCTCTCAACCAATACACGTATATCTATATATTATATACATCAACGTACCCGCTCCACGAGCAACGGCTTGGACGCGTCCGCGAGCACCCCCGCCACATGCTGGTGCATGAGTGGCCATAGCGTGTTAAAGCGATGCAAATTGACCAGAATCACATTGGTGGCCCACTCAAGGGCGAGCATCGCGTTCTCCTGCGCCATATCGCGCTCGTTCTCATTGGACGACGTCTTTCGATGGAGCAACGCGGCCAGCAACGCCTCGATGCTGCCGCTGCCCAGCTTCCGGCAAAACTTGAGCCACATGTCTCGTTCCAGCAGCCCCTGGCCGCATTTTGCGACGGCCTCCCGCAGGGCGGCGCTCACAAGCGGGTAGTCGGGGTCGCTTTCGTCGTCATATTCGTCGCCCCACCAGTACGACAGCGAGTCCCAAAATGAAGAGGACGACTGGGAAGTAGAGGATGGCATGGTCGTGGTCGTCGTCTGGCGGTGGGCGGCTTGGCGCTCGGCCAGTCGACGAGTGCGTTCGCGCAGCTTGCCGCTCTTGCTGTGCTACTCTCACCATGTATATTGAGTTACGAGTCGATTAAACATGTGATATATATATATAGCATATATATACGGGGAAAAGTCAACTACGTCAACGGTAGGATCACGTACGAGACCCAACATAAACCACAATGTGTCGAGAGATTCACGTGGGATATGATTCTAGTCGTATATATATATATACATTATGTCTATAATTATAATCATAATATTCATATATGTATAAACTCTATAAATATAAAATGGCAATATACATAAATACATAATATATATGCGTCAACATAGATGGCAATATATGTATATATTAATATATTGACTACAATCATATTATAAGAAACGAGTACATCACAAAACGTACCAGCGCCTTGGGAGACAATTGCGTGGGGGGGAACGGCACGCCACGCATGTCGACAAAGTCTATCACAACATATGGAAACCGGTTGGTAACAACAATCTTACTCGTATATTTATATATATACGTATATATATGTCGATAATAAATATATATATATATAAAGATCTATACCGTCCATCTCGACCAACGAGGCAGGGCAAATGTCGAGTGTGTTGAAGAGCAGCATGCACTCGACCACGGCCGTCCACGAGTCGACTGTCAGCACGTCGGCGTGCTGGAGCACCACGTCGAAGAGCACGTCCAGGGCCTTGAGGGTCCGCGTCGTCTTGAGTCGACTGGCTCTAATATACATGTATATATATATTTATGTACATCAAGCTTCCACAAATATATATATATATATCGTACCGATCGTCGTCGATTTGGTCGGGTGATGCTTGCAATGGGACATGCACCTACATACATCGACCACAACATCAGAATCGCGTTCGTCTGTGGAGAAGTAGAAAAAAGAGTAATACGATTAGAACCCCCATTTCGAGAGTTTATTCAAGGCTTCCAGAGAGATATTATCGAAAATGCTACCAGTTTTAGGAATAATAAGTGGAGAAACATATCGAGATAGTATAAAAAAGTCCTCCAGGTTTATTTATAATCATAGCAGAAAACAATACGTCGAGACAACAAACCCCCATGTTCGAGAGATTCTTAGATGCTTTCCCTTCCATAAATAAATATAGCAGGATCATATCGAGATAGCATAAAATGCCCCCAGGTCCATAAATAATAATAGTATCAAAATATATATTATGTCAAGACCCCCGATTGAACGAGATTTTGACACGATGAGCATGGGTATTGTTGTGTTTATTCAAATCTGGAGGGACGTGCCGAATGTATGTATCGACACAACGAAATGTACACAAGAATCGGCAGAAGAATTTAGTAAAAAAACATATATATTTTTATAAAAATATATGGTTTTTTGCTAAATTCATTAGATTTTAATAATTTTGATGATTTCTTATAAAAAATCATCAAAACTATTAAAATCTAATGTATATAAAAAATATGATTATAATATAGATACAGTATATAAAAAAAGTAATGATATGCATATTATTACGATTGCCGGAAATCACGTGTTCAAACCACTCAGTGTGATGATGGGTATCATCCAAGGACACGTGTTACATACAAAAATATTCCATACAAAAAATAGTTATTAAGTATTGTCGATTTGATACAAATTTGGGGAGGGGGGGCAATCGAATCGCGCCGACCAAACCGATCCACAATCGATCTGATTGGTTGAATTTCATTGATAAGGTTTTGATTGGCTAATAATTTTGAGCTCATCTGAAGTAGCCAATCAAATCGATTTAAATTCCAACGAGAAACCACGCCTCAACACAATGAAATTTCACTCGAAAGCACAATAAGAAATCAGTACACAAATGTCCAAATTTTAGCTCAAAGAACAATTCTACGTACCTTGTCTCCGTTGAGAACCCCATGGGCAAACTCGACCACGTACGCAGCAAGGGCCGATAGAAATTTGTTGAATTCAGGAAGCATGTTGAAATAGACGGCGATCTTGATGCAGTTGGTGAACCCGTCCAGCGCCTAAATAATATATACATTTTTCATATCAAATACCAATATATATATACGAAAAAATTAGTACTTTTTGCATGGTGGTTTCGTCGCATGTACGCTCAAACGCGTTCAGAATGCTCTCGGTGGTGCTGTCGACTACAAGCGAAAACATTTCGCGCTCGTGGCGGCCGGCGCGCAGCTTGAGAATGGACGCATTGGAAGTAAAGGACGCGCCGACCACGTTTTCCTGGCGCTTTAAAATGCCATCCCATTGCGCCGAGTATCGGTCCACCTTGTCACAGATTCAGGTACGTTGTCGCAGAGGTTGTATCGACAAGTCAACGGAACACGTATAATAATAGACTTTTGAGTATTGTGGATTTGATATACAAATTTGGGGAGCGGGTGCAATCGATTCGTCGCGCCGACCAAACCGATCCACAATCGATCTGATTGGTTGTTGAATTTCATTGAGAAGGTTTTGATTGGCTAATAATTTTGAGCTCATCTGAAGTAGCCAATCAAATCGATTTAAATTCCAACCAGAAACCACGCCACAACACGAAAATTTACTCGAAAGACCACAATATCTCCAACAATCTTTTGATTTTAGAGGGTACTACTAGAAATAATTATACTAAAAAAAGTGGACAAAAATAGGTACAAGAGGTTAGGTATATAACCTGACATTGAAAAAAGAATTGGTAGGATGATCATGCAAAACGACAACCTCTACTTATATATAATATATAGGTATACGACAAAAATCCAAGTAGTAATACTATACACGATACTAGAACAAGGCAAATCCTTCACACACAATATATAAAAGATGATATAAACACATGCAATACAAAACAGTTCAAGCCACCCTTTCCACTATTTATGTATATATATATACACGATCGAAAGCATATGATAATATATAGCTAGCTAGCACATGCAACACAACCTTTTCTAAATATATCCACAAAGCAACATATAAATGTGTAGGTATGTATGACAACGACAGCCAGAGACGACGAGTCGTAATAGTAGTACTAGGCACACGATTCAAGGGCGTACTAGTACTAGTAATACTAGGCACATGATTCAACAGTGGATTAGTAGTACTACGTACGGTGGTGACGACTTGCATATCGGAGATGTCAGTCTGCATCTTGATTTGGTTGGACTGGATGTTGTGGTAAAGGAGTTCCAAGTACTCCCGCGGAAGGTCTTGGCCGCCGTTGATCCCGCGGTTGTTGCGTACAAATTCGTCGATTGTCATCTTTTTTTGAATTTGGTCGCTAATGTAGTAAAAAATATATATTCACATTAGACCAAAATACGTACAATATATACATACAGCCCACTGGTCTTATGTATCCTTTTCAACAACTAAACACTCGATCGAGGTATCGTTGTTTATCGTGAACAAGACTACCACAATATATATATATATATGTGATTATCCTCCTCTATTCTTCACGTTATCAAATATTGAGCCAAACCCCATCATGTAATATATATTGTAGTGTATCGTGCCGAGAATCAACCGATACTACTACCCAACGGGGTAGAAAAAACGTAGCCAATCCAATTGCAGGAACGCACAAATAGAAGATTTAAATAGTGTGCGATATATATCTCCACTGGTCATTTTTGACATGCAAAACAACTCACACACAACGGATTTTTTCGACTCGGTATAATATTTTGGCTGCAAGCACAATACATATATATATATATACATTACCTGTGCAAGTCCGTGTTGAGCATGATGATACTAAACGACAAGATGAACGCGCAGTCTTCGTGTACAAATGGATGCTTTTCCGCTTGAATCTGGTTGAAATATTCCTTCGCAAATGCCTCCATGAGCCGGTCGATCTTTTGCGCCTCCCCGGGCAGCCGAAACTTGGCCAAGCACATGCGCAAAGCTCCATCCAACGGCGCATGTCGAAAGTCAAACATGCCTATAGATATTATATATTAGTGTCGATACGTATATATATATATTGGTACGTACTCACGTATGCATTGCGCACGGCTTCGTGGAACGGCTTGTCTTCTTTGGGTCCGTCTCCCAAGTAGTCTCCAATCGACGTTTTGTTCAACCCTATATATATATATTGGACAAAATTCAACCAGGGGGTTTCAAACGTCCAATATCGATTTTAAACGAATCGAAAGGGATATCAAACAACTGATTGCGAGTTTATAACACACAATGTTTTAAAACGTCCGACCTATTTGGTTTAAATCGGCCTTGATATATTAGTTACCAACATAGCAAAAAATATATGTTATATTATTTAGGTATATAAAATAAAAGATATGTTGGGATGCCAGATGGATCAATGTTATAACGATATCGCAACATCCAGCCCCGTTGGATCATGACGCTATCCAAGTTCTTGATCCTCGTACCCCTGATCTTTCAACTGACATGTATATATATATATATATATATTTAACTGACATATATATATATATATATATATATATACCACCATCACAAGGACAACACCACCAATGCCTTTTCAAATCAAATAGTTCTGTAAACACATGTATTAAATCCACTATATTTTTAAAACGAAATAGCTCTGATAAAAGCACTTGTCCACCATAACTAACAATAACTTTATAATAAGACATATGATGGATGTACCTGGCGTGTGATGAAAGAACGTCGCAACGGACTCGGCCGTGATCGGGTTGGGCAGCAGCCCCAGCTGTTGCGAGTACGCAATCCAGTTCTTGGGTTCGGTATGAAACTTTTCTGCTGCCAAAAAGTATCTCTTTTTGTTTTGCTTGCCTAATCATAGAATAATATTATACAGCAAGCAACGTTCATATCTAAATAGAAAAAGAGAGCTAAAATCTCACGAACGTTGCTGAAGAACTTCGGCCGTGCGTTCCCGGGCCGTGTGCAACCACGCAAGTGAGTCGTTGGGAGGGATGGTACTGTTGGCGTCGCCATTGTCTGACTCGGTATCGCTCATCACGAGATGCATCACTTCTTGGATTGAACTCATGGGTGAAATCGCCTGTGTACACAAGAATCATGTAAAGAACAGATATATATACATTCTTCAAGTACAATGAACTATACAAGCCACAACGTAAAGCAACGGATAAACCAGCCACGTATATATAAATATATATATATATTGTGTTTAGAACAAACGCTATTGTCCAGTCGGTTCGTAATTGGAATCGCCAGTGGAATCGAATAGACTTGGCAAATCGATTTGAGAATGAACTAGCCAATCAAAATCCATTCTAACCAAGATTTCTGAGTGGTTCAGCCAATCAACACGTTTTCTCTCCGTTGCAGATTGAACTCACTGTACTATAATAGTGAATACAAGATGTATATATTGCCAAGTTCATTCAAAAATAGTTTCACTTTTGAACAGTCCTAATATTCGTGAAACGGACAATATCTATAATATACATATTGTGTCGGTTCAATTTGGACTGACCAGACGTTGATTTGATATCGGCTGGGATATTCCAAAGTATAATATTATTCTATTTAATTTGCCAATATGTAGCATCACGAAGCTTTTACACACAATGCAACACACGCCGGTATATATATATGTTTTCTCTCGCTCCATCAAACAAATAGTTCTGTAAACACATGTATTAAATCCACTATATTTTTAAAACGAAATAGCTCTGATAAAAGCACTTGTCCACCATAACTAACAATAACTTTATAATAAGACATATGATGGATGTACCTGGCGTGTGATGAAAGAACGTCGCAACGGACTCGGCCGTGATCGGGTTGGGCAGCAGCCCCAGCTGTTGCGAGTACGCAATCCAGTTCTTGGGTTCGGTATGAAACTTTTCTGCTGCCAAAAAGTATCTCTTTTTGTTTTGCTTGCCTAATCATAGAATTATATTATACAGCAAGCAACGTTCATATCTAAATAGAAAAAGAGAGCTAAAATCTCACGAACGTTGCTGAAGAACTTCGGCCGTGCGTTCCCGGGCCGTGTGCAACCACGCAAGTGAGTCGTTGGGAGGGATGGTACTGTTGGCGTCGCCATTGTCTGACTCGGTATCGCTCATCACGAGATGCATCACTTCTTGGATTGAACTCATGGGTGAAATCGCCTGTGTACACAAGAATCATGTAAAGAACAGATATATATACATTCTTCAAGTACAATGAACTATACAAGCCACAACGTAAAGCAACGGATAAACCAGCCACGTATATATAAATATATATATATATTGTGTTTAGAACAAACGCTATTGTCCAGTCGGTTCGTAATTGGAGTAGTCGCCAGTAGAAAAAATCGAATCGACTTGGCCAATCGATTTGAGAATGAACTAGCCAATCAAAATCCATTCTAACCAAGATTTCTGAGTGGTTCAGCCAATCAACACGTTTTCTCTCCGTTGCAGATTGAACTCACTGTACTATAATAGTGAATACAAGATGTATATATTGCCAAGTTCATTCAAAAATAGTTTCACTTTTGAACAGTCCTAATATTCGTGAAACGGACAATATCTATAATATACATATTGTGTCGGTTCAATTTGGACTGACCAGACGTTGATTTGATATCGGCTGGGATATTCCAAAGTATAATATTATTCTATTTAATTTGCCAATATGTAGCATCACGAAGCTTTTACACACAATGCAACACACGCCGGTATATATATATGTTTTCTCTCGCTCCATCAAACTCCAGCATGATATCACCAACCCAAACCACCAAATACAATCAAATTTACTCAAATCACTTTCAAGACGAAATAACACGCCATTTTTATATATATATATAGAATGTAGATTCGGTACAAATTTCCAGTCGAATTTCGTCGCCGCATCGAATCGCTCACGAAGCGACGGTATTGGCTCCTCCAATTTTGAGTGTATCTGATTGGCGCTTACGGAAATATATTTAGCCAATCAAAATTTCCAGCGTGATATTGTTTTCAGTATGAAATCCCGCGAATGTGTTGGACATTCTCACACTATGTAGTCTCGTATATATTCATCCCAATATAACATACATCGTACTAACACCTCAAGAACCCCAATAATAATCTCGATATTTATATTCCAAAACTTGTTTGAAATTCAATCAAATGTACCGGAAGAGCCCCCGCGAACGAGTTTGGCGACGGGTCGACCAGCGCCGCCAGGTCACTTCCAGTAACGTCCACCTTGGACGCATTAGCCAAGTGCAGCGGGCACCGGCGGGAGATGGATTCGAGAACGGCGAGCAACCTACCAAACAAAAACGACCTTAACGCAGGCCCAACATGCAGATATAGTTGTAGATTTGTTTCGTCCAGTGGTTTAAAATGTGCACACATCATCACGAGAGCAAATAGTTACCATACACCACCACCCGTCAACGTTTTACTGGATAAAACAACGGAATAATATAAATAAGAGTTCACATTCATATCAACATGTTTCCATTCAAATCAACATGTTTCCATGGATAAAAATGGAATATTATAAATATGTTTCCATGGATAAAAAATATATAATTTTCAAAGGATACAAACGGAGTAATATATATATATATATACGCTTCAATGTAGAAAAATCAAAATCCTACAGGGTGCATACATTCACTAGCCCCAGAGTAAACATTCAAATCGTCGAGTGTACATACCCGTCCAAGGCCAGCAGGTTGAGGATGTTAAACACTGGGGGCAAGTCGGGAAAGTACGTCACTACAACACACCACTCTTGTGTGAATCCATATATATATATATATATATATATATATATATATATAAACACGATAACTTGTACTGGGTCGTAGTTGGCAGTACTACCTTGCGTGGTTTTAGCCAAGGCCGTACAGAGCACTTCAAACAAATTGGTGCAGTGGACGTCGCAGTCGTAGTTGATGTACAGATCCAGCATAAGCGCCGGTTCGCGGCAGAATTCCAGCAAACTTTCAAGCGCAAGCTCCTTTTGCTCGTCCGAGCAGGTCGGGCTGTCCATGATCCGCATGTGAACGCTGGTAAAGAAGATCTCGAGCTGCACTTTCAAATGATCTTTGATCGAGTTGAACAGGTTGAACACCACGCGCAAGGTGAGGCTGAGCACCTACTCCATAGAAGAATATATAAATATATATATATATATATATTAACTCCCAATCAAAAAAAGTTATGATAACATGAATTCAAGACTGATATCAAAGAACGTCAAACTGTGTGATATGCGCGTTGAAATATATCTTTTTTGTTAATCCAAATTTATAAAACTAATTACATGAACACATCACTTTTTTTTATTTATTTCAGACATTTTTTATCTTTAGATAAATATAAATGTATGTGGACACTATCCATCGTCCATTATATATATATATATATATATTTATATATGTGAAAATTCTACATCATAAACTTAGATGTCGTACCTGCAACTCGGACGTTTCAGAGTTTTGCAGCAAATATTTGGACAAATCCCCTTGCAGCACCGACACGAGCGATGGGTGTGCACCCAATCCCGTCCCAGCCGTTTCCAGCACGAGGTTAATCAGACTCAGCCCAAAGATGATCGTGTCTTCTTTGCCCTTGGGTTTAATTAAATCCGATAAAAACAGCAAAAGTTGCTCCAGAACGGGGATCCCGTACGGCAACACCACGTCGACGGTCAAGTCGTCGCCCTACACATGGACAAAAGTATCGTGATTTGGTCTACTGTACCGTACAGTGTACGTCGAAATGGCTGGGTACACACATATATATATATACAAATGCGATGCAGTAGATATATATATCGATGATAAATTCATATCATATATATGTATAAATATGATACGTAGATAGAAGATAACACATTGTCGAATTGCACTCATGTCCACTACAACCACTACGTCTATATATACAAGATCCATTGAATAAACTCCAATATATATATATATATATATATATATAATATATATATATATATATATTGGAGTTATATACATCATACAGCTGGGTATATATATACAGGATCATTACTCGATTCAATAACGCGCTTGTTTTCGAGTCATCGTTTCTCGTATAAGTCCCAGATAGTGTCTGGGTTCTAACTATTAAACAAGATCCATAAAATATATATCCATAAATAAATATATATATATATATATTACAGCGCTGTAAATCCACTTGTTTCATCCAAAGTCGGATAGAGTGTGTCTGGGTTCTACAGAAACGTTACGATACCTCGAGAGCGTCTTCGTCAGCATTATCATTGTCGTCATCTTGAGAGGAAGCAACGGCCGACGGCGGCAAAAGCGGCGCGTCCATCTCGGCGATGCGATCGAACACTGTCAAGATGACATGCGCCAGAGTGTTTTCAGCCATGTGAACCAAATGCATGGATGCTCTGGCCTATGGATATATATATATTACTGAGCATTGAAAGGTGTATATATATATATCACGCACTTGGGTGCAAATACTGTAGCACGTGTGAACCATGTTCCACACATTGTCGCCGGAAATGAGCGGCCCAGCCTCGCACCGAAGGCAGAACTCGAGCAGTTCCAACAGCTTCATCAGGACCATCTCATCCACGTCGCGATGGGTTTCCTCGAAGCGGCAGCGGGACACACACAACGCAATGCGGTTGATTGCTTCCGTGGCGCGCAACCCATCGGGAGGAATCAAGCCGTAGAGAAGGAACTTGTTCAGGCTCGAGATCGCGGCGCCCGTGATGAACCCCGACGTCTTCTCGCTCTCGACGACATGCACAAACGGCTCGAGCACGTTCAACGTGTCCACGTCGCTCAGGTCTATCACCCCTTCCAAGGACACATGCAGGTCCTTGAATCGCCGCAACAACGCACTCTGTGTGTGCGTCGGCACCTCGCGCTTGAACCGAGCTGCCGTCGCCCACCGCGCGTTCACGCGCATCACACTCAGGACATTGTGGATCTCGCCCTTCACGCAGTTGACGCCATTAGGATGGCCATACACCATGTTCCCACGGTAATATTCCGATGCGCGTGTGGAACGGCGACGTACGTCAGCTCGGATTAATTTCAGCCAATCAGCGATCGCCACCAAGTTCCATATCGACTGGATTAAGTGCGACCCATTCAAGTCCTAAAACGACACTTGAGTGGTGTGATTTTAAATCGCACATTGCAGGGGTAAACTTACTTACTCCTCATTTATTATCTTTATAATATAAGAATATTATAAATATTTTTAAAATATATGTATTATTTATCTATTATTTTTTTACTAAAAGTTATTAATAATAAAAAATCTAAAAAACAAAAAAACATATCCAGCTAACGTTACCAAGTATGAAGCGTTTCTTTCGTGAAATTATTGCGCTCGAATATGTACAGTGTAGGCAGGATTTTGGACGACATATCGTGCTTACAATCATCATTTACTGTTAACATACTAACAGTTACGAGCCGATTGACCTCCCGATGCAAGTACACATCATGGAGGGATGGTTCACATGCAGCGCAGCTACTACTACTGTATATACATGCGCCTATAATTTCACAAAACTCAAATGCCGTCCATGTTACCAGCGATCAACATGACCTCTAGTAAGGTCGCCACAGTCTTGGCATGGTTTTAACGTGTTAACTCGTCCTGCAAAGGTGTCGACATCCACGTTTTGCTGGTTTTTCATCCTTAATATTTAGGATCTAATTTATTATACTATTTCTATTAAGGGGATACAAACTACAAGTATGTATTAAAATTACCGTTGCTTACAAAAGCTAAGATAAAAAGTAAAAAAATATGATTTGCTGCAAAAGTTATGGAACAGAGTCGATTAGTGCTATCGCTTGCACGATTGGTAGCTTCGGTCATCTTTTAACGAAACAAGAGCTAAATCAGCTAAATTTTGCGTATGACGTTACGTGGGGGTACTACAGTGAATATAGATAGATATGTACTGAAGAGTACTACGTAGCGTTCAGAACGACCAACAAATATATATCTTCCTTCGCTTCAATGTGAAAGCCAAAATTAAAAATATTGCTTACAGTCGATGAGACCATCAAGGGGTCCTATCATTTTTGCATAATTTTATAGAGTGCATTATCAGAAAAAACTAGATTACGCGGCCTTCTATTTTCAGTCTACGATAGATAATTCCAATATCAGTTCATTTTTCAATATTCCAATCGATTCATACTATACTATATTCATACTTCGATTTTGTAATAGATAATATAATTTGTAGTTCCTATTGTTTCTGGCACATGCAGTCTTGACCGTCAGCTTGAGCTCGTCCATCATCTTGTCGATAGGCTGCGCTTGCTGCTGGAACAATTCGAAGCCTGGCAGGTAGCCGCCAACACGTTGGACTTTCTGTCCGACAAATTTCGCAGCAACTCAACCAACAGGTTGCGCGCGTACTGGGCAAAAATCTGGCGGCGGGGGCCTTCCACAAGCATGCCCAGCACTTCGATCGACGTGGCCACGATCGTCTCATCGTTGTGACTTGCCCAGAAGACGGAGGACAAAGCTATGGTTAAGCAGATTTCCCCAGGGCAAGCGGTCCCCTCGCACTATTCAAAGGGGGGAGAGCCCAAGCCCAGTGGCGGCAGCTAGGGTCGACATCTTCCAAGGCTGAGCAATGCCATGTTCAACCCACGGGAGTTGTCAGGACAATCAACCGGCTGGGTCGACTCCCCAAGGCGGAATTCAAAGCCAAAAAGGTGACGTTGCCCAAGTGGAGCAAAAAAAAAGGTGGACGTTCTCAAGACCTTTTTGGACATTATTGTGTGGTCGGTGTCTCAGCTCGCGACGGGTGACTTTCACAACTTGGTGCAGACGCTAAGCAACCCGACTCGAACGTGAACATCGATGTCTTGCACAACCGATCGTGGGGGCTCTCCACCGGTCCATTTCCCCAATCAGCTTCAGACCGTTGGGCCGAACGTGGTTGACTTTTGATTGACATCGCGCCTTGAGCTTCTTCTTGACGGCCACCATGGGTATCACGCGAGGCTGAACGCCTTGAAGCACTCCAATATGGAGCTAACATAGAGCAGCGTTGGACTTTTTGGTGCCTTTTCGGCAGCGCCGTCACACATATCTTCGGCGCTGCCCAAAAGAACGAGCTCAAGCTGGAGCTCGTCGGCCGGCTTCACCGTCCCTGGTCGCCCAGAGAAACCCTTGTCCACGAACTTGGGCAGCACGCTCCCCATAATTGCATTGTTCCACTGATGGGGACGCACTCGTACGGCGTACGCGAGCACCGCCGCCTAGCCGCACTCGACCGCCGCGGTATTCGAGTACAAACTTGCTAAACAACTCGATCACGTTGTGGTCTTCGATGGCACGACCGGACTTCCAGACTGCTTTTCAGACTTTCCCATTCTTGTCGGCGCCTTTGGCTTCCACTTCGTCTATTTGCAAAGGCGACGTTGTCGTTGAGTTCTCCGCCTCCTCGAAACAAGGCAAAGCGAAGCGTCGGGCGCTCCCAGACCTGTCTTGCGTGGAGAGATTGAGTTACGTTTCGATGGCTCGGGGTCGCGATTTCAACGGATCGACGCTGCTCGCTGGACGTCGGGGGGTGGCGGCGTCGTCTGTGAATTCCAGGGGCGCCTCTCCGCCAGACGAGATGGAGATGCTTTCACTACAGTTCGCACTAGGTAGTGATAGATTGAGCCACCCAAGTTATGTCGACGTCCTGAAAGAGTCGAGTGGAGTGAGCTTTTAGACGACTGGTTGTTTTGGTGCGATTCGGGTCTTCAGAGATAGATGGAGCGCCGCGGCAGGCTTTGCAGGAGGATAATCGTCGTGGTGATGGCTACGAGCTCAGACACGTCGTCGCCCATGCACAATGGGCTGTTGGGTAGGCATGTTTGCCTCGTGATGCGAACAGGTGATGGGTTAACAAATAAGTTTGTACAATAAAAGTGTGACAACGTTAATATTTATTTCTAACGTTAACGTTACGTATAACGTTACCACTTGTATGGATTTGGTATCTTGAAATAACTTTGGGCGGTTGCATTTTGAACCGATGGCTGCAACACATGTTCACAGCACTCACGTGGGCCCGACGCGGACAATTAGTACGTATCGATGCACTTGGAGCCTGATTAATGTGTGGCAACGATCTCCAGTTGTAGGACAGTCCTACCAGCGACCAGTAGCCGAGTGGACTGTGCACGATGTGGTGACGTGGCTACACCAGACGCAATTGGGCTCTCACGAAGCTGCATTCCGCCAAGCTCAAGCCACAGGTAACCCCATATACATGATGAACAAGCTCGGTAGGTATGTATATGGTGGTACTTGCGTATCTAGGTGAGTATTTGCTCCAGCTCACGGCAAACAATTTGACCACGTTGGGGATTACCAGCCTGAAACAGCGAAAGGTTCGACGGCTGTAGAATCTTGATTTGTTCGACAGATCACGAGCCATAGTAGGAGCTTATGAAAGCAATTCATGCGTTGCAAGAGGACGCACACCGCCGTCGTTGTGCTCAAGAGAAGGTGCCATCTGTGGTAGAGCCAGAAACAGCCGAATTCAACGAAGTCGAGAGCCATCAGTCCTTCTTGGAAGCACTCCATCACTGGCGAGGCAACACACCCTCGGAACTGGCCCACGTAGCCACGGAAACCACCCCTAGACCCACGAGTAGCACTGCGAAAGTCTGCTGGCAATGCTTCCAATCATTGGTACGATGACCCGCAGCTGTCGTTGCTCATCCTCAAGACTTGGTAGAAGACATCGGTCTTTCGCAAGGATGGGCATACCTTCTGCTCGCTGCAATGCGAGGCGGCGCATGTGACAGATACTCAGCGAGAGAAACTAGCAGCAAAAGCCGTCCAGTCTACGGCAACCCTCCATCACCAGCACGTCCAATCCATTTGGGCACTTGACATCAAACTCAGCTAAAAAAGTGTAGATTGGTTCTACACAGTGCACACCACCCATGTATATTTTGACACTTGGAAGAGGCTTTTGTGTTCTATACCGAGGGATTCCAGTTCTCGTTTGAGCGCATTCATCTGCATGTTGAAGGACACGACGTTATACTCGGCGTAGACGAGGAGTCATGGTGGTCCTTGTCCAGAAGCATGCGATGCTTGGCTTTGATTGCGATTCCACCAGTTGTGCTTGAACATTCAAACGAGTTATACAAGTCCAAACCTTTCAGCTTGTTGTAAAGCGAAGGCTATTGATATTTCACTGTTCAAAACATTTCCTAAAGTAGATTGTTCATCGGGGGGAACGATGATTCTGTTACATTATTGATTTCAAAGCTAGTATTCGCGTACTTTCCTGTTCGCCTGTGACGTCGTTTTGGCGCACGTACGTACGTACATCACTTCATCGCATAACGTCATACGGGAGCAAGTTGGCACACCTCAAATCAAGACCTGGAGTCGATGAAGTACGAGGGAGGTCTCGCCTCTTTCGATGGGAGGTCGATCTTTGGCCACGTTGGACCAGAGATCACAAGGAGACACTGGCAAACATACCTGTAGCCAACCAAGGCGATAACGTGATGTGAAAAAAGTGACTGGATGCGATGAAATAAGCCCAGCGCATCTGCACAGAAGCGGGTTTTGTCGTCGACGGCATGGACGTCATGAAGTCGTTGGTGAAATCGATGGTGCAAGGATCCCCGTCGGCGCACCGAGTTGCTTGGGTGAACCACCGATGACGCACGCGATGGCCGACAAGTGGTTATTACCACATTCACGACCGTAGCTTCGCTGTTGGCTCAGCTAACTAACTGATATGAGACGGGATTTTGTGTGCCCGTTCCAACGACACTTTAGGAAGTTACAGCTATTAACGAAAAATTGTTTTCGTTGAATTTGGATGGTTGCATTGGTCTTCCCCACGTCATCACATACGAGTGTACATATGAACAATACATACAGTTCTTTGAAGTATGTCCTATACTAATTCCATGCATACAGTATATATATATATATATATATTAGCCTTGCGATTGCACACTTATGTCGTCCATGTAACGATGGGCCTAATCCTTGAAAAAGATGCGTGCGCCGTTGAGCGACCAGTTGAGCAGGTCAAACTCATGTCGATGCAATTCGATGCGCTTGGCCGTGAGCTGCAGCGTGTGCACTTCCTCTTCGTCCTCGATCAGGTCGGCCGCCGTCTCCTTCTTGTCCGCCATCGCATGCTTGCGGGCGTCCCGCTCCCCCTGCTTGACGATGAACGCGGCTTCGTCCGCCTCAAATTTGCGCTCCACTTCTTCAAACCAGTGCAGAGAGTCAAATGCCTAGTCAAAAACAATCACATCGTCACATAATCACATCGTCACACAACGTCCCAATACGCATCACATTTGCTTGAAACCACAACTCGAATCATTGACGAGAAACAGGGGGAGCAAATCGGTATATACTGTATATAGGGTAATACGAGTATGTATGTATGTATGTATGTATGTATGGGCTAGCAAATTCCACAAGGACGGACAACGGAGATATAGTCACAGAATGCCACCACCGTGTCACAGCCATCGTAATCATATATATATATATATATAGGAGATATAGTCACAGCATGCTACCACCGTGTCACATATATATATGTATATGCGTATGCAACCACCCCCCAGCTTGTATTGACCTCGTGGGTTCAGGGGCTTGCAGTCAATATCTTATTATATCCACACAACTCTCACTAATTGAACATACAGTATAAGCCAAGGACTAGTACATACATCGTCCTCGGCACTCAAACAAGCCCATATTCACCCCCAACAATATGCAAATACAGTATCGCAGCAGCAGCTCCCTTGGTCGTCAAGGCAAACATTCGCATATATTAAGTAAAACCCATATTGAATTTTCACTGACAGCAGAATCGAATGTCCCAACCAAATACAATATCAAGATCCGCCTACGCCAATCAAAACGTCTGTGTCGGATTCAATTCAGTTGCGCGAAACTAGATACTGTAAACACCACTTGTATTGGCTAATCGACTCAAACGTCCGAATTAAAAGCAAAACAGACCTGGCCTTGGTTTAGAATCGCCAAAAGGTAGGCAATCCCAATGGCAAACCCGTCGTCCGTGAAGTACGACTCGCGGCGCCGCGTATTCTTGTACATGAGGTCCTTGGCCTGCACCGACGTTTCGATAAAGTTGATGGTCAAAGCCGGCACGATCTGGTAAAACAGCCCCAGATGCTTTTGCGACGCCACCACTTGCTGAAACACTTGCACGAGTACGTGAAAGTAGTCGTTGTTCTCACTAAAGTTGCGAGACAAGTTGGCCACCACCGCGTCCACATTCTTGGCCGCCACGGCCGTTTCATTACTCAGCTCTGGCGATACCATCGCTTCGAATTCAAAGTTTCGTGTATTCAAGTCGGGCACAAATTGAATTGCATTGCTACCAGACAATAATTAGACAACATCAGGGCGTCGTTAGACCACCACAAATATATTTATATATATAGATGTGTGTTCGAGGCTTCATATATATTAATAGATGTGTGTTCGACGCTTCATATATATATACCCCAAGGAGCCAATCGGTTGGACCACTGCAAATATATACATCTATATATATATATATAGATGTATATATTTGCAATATATATATATATATATACCAGTGACTCGATCTGGTGGATTAGACCACCACAAATAAAGATATATCTATATAAATCAAGATATATTCGAGGCGTCATCTATATATATATATACCTGCAATAGTTCATGCCAGCAGAGCGCACCATGCGGACGTAGCCGAGGGCGTTGCCCATTTCCGTGATGAGGATGCGATACTGGTCCAGGAACGTTCGGCCGGCGTCGGATACTCCCAATTGTCGAATTTCTAGATAAAATAATATTAAATAGATTGGAAATCCTGTTGATATACCTAAAATATATTTGACACCACACGAGAACAACTACAACCTCAACCTTGTAATACAACTTGAATAAAATACAATATATATATCCAAGTACCTTTGTTGAAATCAAACGCACGCTGGAACGGGTACTTGTGGTCTTGGGTCTCGGTTTTATGGGATTTATACCACCGGACCTCTCGTTTGAGAAAGCTCTTGATGTAATCGTCAAACAGAAACTGCGAAAAAATGTCGAACTTTTTGCTGAGGAATTGGTACGTAAAGTTGACGGTGGTATTGAGGATGCCCATGCCGTGGGTGCGGATGCTGCTAGCGATCGAGTGGATGGAAATCGCGTTCAGGTGCCGCGAGCCCTTGTCGCTGCGGCGCTCGACAAAGAACTGCTGGTTCAGATTGTAGTTGTACCGACCCACAAAGATGTGGATATTGCGCATGATCTGCAGCACGTCCAGGCCTTGGTCGAGGCTTCCCATGGGCAGGTGGTTCTCGGCCAAGTGGAGGCCGTACTTGTCGTTTGCGAGCTGTCGCATTTCCCCATACCTAGGTGAATATATATATATATGAGATTTTCTTGTTTTAAAAAATAGAGTAAAAAAGCAAGAGATTCGTTCATTCTAGAATAAAATTGAATGTCGCAATTTTTTAAACTTCGTTTTTTTTTTATTCAGCATGTTGAGATGGGGTATTTATTAGTTGTATCTATTTTATAACTAGAATGACACTGACAAAAATAATGACATGCCAAAAAGAATATAAACTGGTTCCATGTATACAACAACACAATATCAACCTAACAATCAGTCATAACGAGGTAGAGTTCGTGTGAGAGATGGAGTAGAGGAAAATGAAATAGCAGTATTGTCAAATCAATGCGAAATTACGCGAATATGGATGAAAGAACCGCCTAAGCCAATCAAATCGCGTTCTGGTAAATTTCTGCCAATCCAAACGTTTGACTCGACTCTGTTTCTCCGCATTGGGCAAAACCATATATATATACGAATATTTGTATAGTTTGTACAAGCTTAAATGGGATGATCAAATGGATTCGAATACTATTTGGCGAAATGACTCACACAAGTCCAAATAATTTTGACAGAAATGCACAATACCATACAAGGATGTGGTATCTATCGCCGACTCTCTCCAAGTCTTCTAACAAAATGGATTCAGAATCAAACATCTCCTTGTCACACATCGTTTGCCATGTCCAATACAACCGCACATCGTCACACAACCATCATCGCATGTAATATATATTAATTATTATTCTCAATTGTGTCGACAGCAAACCAGAAAAACATTGCGATTAACCGTCCTTTGATTGTCAAGTTTACACAGGCATATATATATATATATAAATAAAAATATATGTATAAAGAAATATATATCTCCCCAATCTATTACACAAATACACACACACGTCCACAGGCATACACATACAATATATATATATATATATATATATATATATATATAAATACAAATACAAATGTATATATATAAAGAAATATATATCTCCCCAATCTATTACACAAATCCACACGTACGTTTTCCAGTCGTGTAGCGCTACAGTCGTGAGGTTGTAAAACGTCGACTCCAAGTAATGCGTCACGCGGTCGCGCAGGTCCACACACTTGCCCCAAATGCGAATCGGACGCAGGTCCATGTAATAGTGCAGCACCTATAACACAAATCAACCATGTTAAAGTAAAATTAACAAATAATTATTCTGAAAAAACATGCGATACAGTGTCGAATCCATGTCTGTCTGTACCTTGAAATCGGCATTGTTGATTGGGTTGGGGGTCTCCATGTGCTCGAGATGCACCGAGTGGACATGCAGCCGCAGATCGTTCTCAATGTCCATGCACAGAGGTACCACAAGGTCGTCTTCTACCACTTCCTCCACGAACGACGCAAACGCTTCCACGTAGTACGCCACGGCATTCTCTTCGTGTCCCGCCGTCTTGAGCACCTTGATCGCATCTAAAAACCCCGCCAGCTACCACCACCAAAACATCATCACATATTTGACCTGAATAGAACCATAAAAGTATATATATCTCTTTGTCTAACACACAAGGCAGCATAAAGTACGAGAGTATATATATATATATAGTATATATCGCGCATTTTTCAGATCACTTCACGAAACAATCGACATTTGCTAGTTAGTGGGCTTCAGTGGGGCTTTGAATGTTGGACCAGATTGACGAATTTAAGTGGTACGATTGTCGTATTGCAACCAATCAAAAGGTTAGAGTGTACCCAAGAATCATCGGAAAAGGATTTAGCCAATCATATTGGTGGAAACCGTCAAACGGAGTGTATCAATCAAAAATCACCACAGCACGGACCCCTTGTTACATGTAAATTCAGTACAAAGCATCGATCGATCAATGATAGATGGAGAAGCAATAAAGTCCAAGTTTGGGTACAGTACCACGTATTGTATGCGACTGGCGTTCTCCGGCACCGAGTACATGTCTTGGACAAACAGCGTGAGCAGCTCTCGACTCCAGTATAAGAACGAACAGTCTGTCGCGAGCCTGATCTTTCTCTGAAAGTCGCACAGCACATGCAACTTCCACACAAGTTTGCGCGCTTCTGCTTCTCCTGACGGCGTTATTGTCTTCTTATCTTTGGGCTCGTCGTCGGAAATGAGGGCAATTTGAATCGCTAGCGATAGCACCGTCAATCGGGTGGATGAAAATGACTCGCCCGTGTGCAGAATGTCCTCAACCACCGATACAGCTGCCAGAATGTCCAGCTTAGTGTCGTCGAAGCGTTTGCTTGCTTCGAGCTTGGCTTTGATTGGACGAAGCAACAACGTCAATGCGTGTGCTACTTGCCTAATATCATTACAAGAGGATTCAATAAAATGAAATGTTTCCAAAACACGAAAAAACAGCAAATGCCAAACATGCAAACGATAAACATGTAAAGCATGAAGAATAACCAAAAGCACCATGATATCACGGCCGCGTTTGTCCCAAATCAAGTATATATATATATTATAGGTTGTAAAATTCGATGCAATTGTTTGGACGTCTGAGTAAAAGAATGGAATGAATTCAAATTGCACTACCGAGAAATTTCAACCAATCGTTGATCAGAATTGGTTGGTGGCCCAGCAGGCAAAATCTTTTTTATTTATTAATCATATATTGAACACGCTTCAAATCATACACTTCATATATCTTGAACGAAAAATATATAACCCAAATTTGTTTCTTATCATATCTTGAATTCTTCAAACATATTATATGAATATAATACACTCTTTAAATATAAAACATCTAAATATACACTCTTTAAATAGAACATCTAAATATATTAACACCAATATGTCTGAATAGCATAGGTATATATATATATATATGTACATTCTTCAAGGCAACTTGACTTTTGCACACAGATATCAAAGGAGGGGCTGTCGTACCGCAACATGAGCGCCGCGCTCTCTGCGAGAATCGGATTCTTCCGAGCTAGCATGAACTCGATGGCTTTGTTCATTTCCACGCAATGGTACAGCGGCCGTAGGATGCGCTTGGGCATGGGAATATTCAGCTGCAAATGCAACTGCAGCAGCGTCTGCATCATCGTTTGCACGCGTTTGGCCAAAATCAGACCCTTCACGATCAAGTTGCCTCGAATTCTACCACCACATATGTACACAACCACCCACTGAGGTCACTACTATATACCCTTAGGTATCCATGTGTATTTTTGTTCACATGGATAATATATATATATATATATATATATATATATATATATATCAGGATAGATTGATTTGTTACCCCAAAATCCGCGCGGCGTCACCCCCACCTCGGGTACTCAGTTGAAAAAACGATTCAAAGCGTACGAGCCACGCACGCACTTCGCTTTGCACGTACACGACGTCGTCTTGAAACACATCGTCGAACTTGGCTATAGACCAAATATCCATAGATTCAGGTTCAATTAATATATGTATATATATATCACCGACAACATGAACTATAGAGATATATATATTTCGAGCCCACAAAACAAGGCATATATGTATATCCACACGACCAACACTTGATAACACAAGAGAATATTATATATATATATATACCAAGATAGTCACGCCGCGCCTGCACCACGTCGACGGGCACCGCCGTCTTGGACTGCAGCGGGGCGTACTTGATGAGAAATTCTGGCAGGTACCAGCTGAGCCGACCGCAGAGCACGACCACTGGCGCCTTGAGCTGCAGCTGCCACAGCTTATCATACAGACCCACGTCTGGCAGGACGTTGTTGGGCAGCAGTTTGCGAAACACTGCGTATAGCCCCGCCACACCCACCACTTGGATTCGTTCGTTTCTATATATATATATATATATATAATATTTCGATGCTATATATATATATATATATCATATATCGATGATATATATATATATATATGTACGTTTCCGAGGATGTGCCAAGGGCCGTTTCGATGGCTTGGATGCGACTGGTGAGACAGTGGTAGAACTCGTCGAGAAACACGCGGTTGTTGCGCACGTCGATCTTGTTGAGCTGCTCGTCGTATTCTTCTTCTTCTTCTTCGTCGTCTAATTATAAAAATTATAAATAAAATCCAAACATGCATTGTAAATTTGCTATAAATTTCCGAAATTCGAGTGGTTTGTCTAATTAATATTGCATCACGCTGGAGTTGTTCTGATTGGTTGAATGCACTTGTCCTTTATGTAACAGCCAATCAAATCCATTCAAAAGTGGATGAACCAATAGTGTCGATTTGTGATTCGATTCGGCGGGGAGATATTCGATTTATTCGACAGGGTCTGGAAATTTGTATACCGAATCATCCACAATAGTGGAAAAATAAGACTCAAACCATCCATTTAATGTTATAGAACATATCGATAACATTCCAACTAAATCGATAATTCCTCTGTCAAAAGACAATTGAACCCCATATGTATCTACGAATATACACGAGTAGGACGTGGAGAGTTTTAAACTATAAAAAAAATACGCTGACAACTATACAGATTTGCAGTATATCCACACTGTCCAACTATAAATATATATATAAAGTATATGGCCGTACCGCTGTCTTCGTAGCCAAACGTAGTCTCGAAGTCCTGGTCGATACACGTTTGAAATACCTTGGCGCCTATTGAAACCATCAGCATCATGAATTAGATTTATCTAGATACATAATTGCTTCAATATGTCTATCCACATGAACGAAAATTCAGCCAACCAATCCATATCATCGATAGATTGACTATATATCAAATAATAGTACACACATTATAAATCTAGATATTTACATAATTCCGTCAACATATCTATCCCCACATCATATATATTCAACCAATCCATGTACTTCTATATATCAAATAGTTTCAGTTAATCTATCTAGATATATACACGCAATTCCGTCAATACATCCACATGAAATATCACCCAATCAACCAATCCACCATATATACATGTATCGACTACATATCAAAACACATAGTATGATTCAAAGTTGGAGTGCATAGTCCAATAGCGACCGATCAAACGCACACAATCGACTAGCCAATGAAATTGATTCAATCCTAAATTCCAACCAATGGCACTTCAGCGATGTTTGGCCCAAGGATTTGTCCGATTTTGAACTATATATATTGAATTTTCGTATCCATTTGACGGTCTTAAACATATTGTCAAGTCAGTCGACTTGTCCAATAAACTGCCCAGTGCCAAATTGAGTGAAAAGGACCATATCCAGGACAACTAACTTCCTTCTTACCCATAAACGTGCCGTCCAAATTCACAAGCAGCCGTTCAAATGCCTTGACCTGGTCGGCTGTGACGTTGTAGCGCGCCGGATCAGCGCGGACGTACTGCATCATGCGCTTGTACTTGTCCCAGGATGTGACAATATTGGGGTTGTCCATCACGATGAGGTCCAGCGTGAGCAGAATCTCCAGCACGTGGCCAAATGCGTCAAATACGCTGGTTAAATGCACGTGTTTGAACGTGGACTTCCATAGCTTTTGGAAACTCTGGTACAGCGACGCCAGCTGGTGCACGAGGTTGGTCGCGATCGAGTTGCACCGGTCCACGAAATTCGAAATGTCCTACTCAAGTATAATACATCAAACTACTCGATATCTATATATATATATATCAAATTGAATTTCAAAAGATAACAGACGCTCATGGATCGAATATCGGAACAAGATGACATCTGGAACCTTGTTTCGGTGGTGATCGATTTTGTAAGTCGATATATTCGACATAATTAGACTAACCAAATCGGCAGACAATCGAATATAATCGACCAATCAAAACCCACAACACGAATATCAAGTACCCAATCAAAATTATCCGCACCATGTCAACATTGAATTAGAGTGTGTGCCTGAAATTAGTGTGACATTGAACGATCTTTACAAACGTCAGTATAAAGAAAATCGATATGGTATCGATAGATTTGGCAAAGAATTCGCACTAAATTCAACCAAATTTGGAGTAATAACGACAATATAATATAAGAAAAAAAACCCAACTCGGATCATTACTTGAAAGAACGGCAACATGCGGCCGATGTGCACTTCGTCCTCGCCGGGCTTGACGTCGCCCTTGTCGCCATGCTTGGCTTGGCCAAACATGATCAACGCAGGGTAAAAGTTGTCTTCCACCGTCACTTTGAGCTCGGAAATCTCGTCGCAGAGCACCGCAAACACCGTGAGGACCTTGTTGAACAGTTCGTTGTCGGTGCGGATAAGGTCCTGCACGTCCACGCGCTCGGCGGGATGCAAATGCAGTTGGATCGGATCCGCCTACATGCATTCGTCATGTGTCGATCGATGGAGGGGCGTAATACCCAGTATCCCCACACTTCCGACATGGCGGCGGACAGCGCGTCTTCGATCTCCTTCAACTTGGACTACATACGGGGCAAGAAAGTGTGAGTGCATGATCATGTCCATGTTGCATGACAAGGGAGAGTGGAGGCGATGGTTGGATGGATGTACCGTATGCTCGTTGACAATCTCGAGGCCCTTCTGCAACTGTTCACGGATCGGCTGGTCATGCGCATCAAAGTCGGCAAAGGGGGACACGAACTGATAGTCTTCTTCATCGATCGCGTCCAAGTCTGGCGTTTTCGCGGTCGTCGTCCGGAGTTCGGATGCACGGGCACTGCGTCGACTCGAGATCGACGCGCGACTGCTGGACGAGGCACGGGAATCCGACCGTTCTCGATTGCTTAGCATGGATGCACGCGAGTCGAAGCGATCCAAACGCGTCGAATCCGCGTACGAAACACTCGAGTCGAACCGCGGACGTTCGTTCCGGCGCTTGCTATCGGCTTCGCTCAACGTGTCCGAGATGAGGTCGCTATCGTCGCCATCGGACGACACGGAGCTTCTCTCAGATGCGGCGATCGAAGGAGGGGGTCGGTTGGGTGTGGGTGCAACAGACGCATTGGCGCTGGTCGGTGCCGACGTGTCGGCGCGTGGCGCTCTGCGGGAACTCATCGCAAAAATGAGCTAATTTACGCACGAGGGGCTGCCATATCCGGATAAACGGGGAATGTCGGTCGTGGATTCCGGATAAAAGGCCCACGTGTATAAATATTGTTTGTGAGTATTAATAAAATGGTATTAATAATTGCAAAACATGTAACGAACGGTACATACAAAATATGCGGCAAAAACTGGGGTGGTTAATTATTAAATTATTGTTTGTGACTTAAAGAATGGTAGGAATAATATCACAAGAAATATATATATATATATATTGTGTTAAATGCAGCAAAACATTGTACGGTAAAGTCGGTGTGCGAGTCAATTTGAATACAAGAGGCTAGGCGACTGCAGCTAGGCATTGTCTTGTTTCTCTTCCGTACGTTTGAGCTCATTGGGGTATTATTTTGATCAACCACATAGTACAGTGTACTACTGTACATATCATTGATTATTTGTATGGAATTTCTGTCTACGGAACTCCGCACCCCTTGAGCCTCCATCATGTTGTTCATGTGCACGCACTCATCAGTAGTTGGATCGTATCACGATACGCGGCAAATGGCGGCAGGTCCTGGACATGCGCGAGCATCGCCGTCGTGGTTTCATTGGCTGGATTCAACACCACATCGCGAACAAGCTGGGTTGACGGGGCCTCCAACAGTCGACGGAGCATCGAGTGCTTGCGGGAGGACCCGACGGGTCCCGAAAAGCAGAAGTGCCCGATGTGATGCACTACCCACCGGTACATGGCCGCTCCTTTGTCCGCCGTCAGGTGTTGGCGCAACACGCTTTGGAGATATGCGTCCAACAGGACATCGTCCACTACATACCCTTCCAAGTCGTCGGTGACCATCTAATCATATACATTATCAGTACACGTCCGATATCTTTGTCCATCTATTAATACCATCTATTAGATATTGTCCATCTAATAAGAAGAAATCAGTATCACACGATTCCTCAATCAACAGATTATCGACATACATTCGATCGACCAATCAAACACCAAGTATTACTGAATGGGATTTTTATAATAGGGTGACCCTGGACAACTACTTGTACAAAATAGTCAAACAATCGATCGTCGGGTATTGTCGATTTTATACAAATTTGGGGATCGAATCGCGCCGACCAAACTGATCCACAATCGATCTGATTGGTTGAATTTCATTGAGAAGGTTTTGATTGGCTAATAATTTTGAGCTGATCTGAAGTAGCCAATCAAATCGATTTAATATTCCAACGAGAAACCACGCCGCAACACGAAAAAAATTCACTCGAAAGCACAATAATATGATACGTATTGTCAATTCGTTTCGAAATCGGAGTGGGGGGCTCAATCGACAGACATATCGATCAACCAATCAAAATCCAGATCAAAAAATGAACGGGCCAATCAATATTTATTGAAATATCAAATTGATTTAATAATATAATTAAATTATTATTTTCACGTCAACGATTAAACATCGAATTAGTGTGTGACTGTGTATTATTTGTATGACACTGGACACTTTTTACACATACCCAAATACAGTCAAACAATCGTTCGTCGTTGGTTTTGGCGAATCAGCACACAAATGTCCAAATTGTGGCTGAACGGACAATACATGTCATTATACAACAGCTATAGTACATGTATATACGAGATATATGGCGATTCTCCCTCCATTATCAATGCCATTTCATAAATGAGTATTATATATATATATATATATCGTTGTATGTATTCTAAACTGGAGCGGCAATGAGAAATGCATAGCCACAACTAAACATAAAGGTACAAACGAATCAACCGATCGAGTTGGCAAATCCGCACAAATGTCCAACTTTTTGGGGAAATATATCGACAACATAGCAAAGTACACGCATATACATGATATGCACAGATTCGTACTTGAAGCAAATGCAGGCACTGAAATTGGGCAATTTCGTTCCACACGGCGGAATGCGTGGCCACGGACACTTGACTCGGGTGAAAATAAAGTGTCAGAATCCAAGCCAAGCCCTTATCCCCATATGACTCGTTGCAAAACACTTGTACTAGCGACGACAGCAAGTTTGCCACTGACTGGTGTTGCACAGCAACAATGCGCTCAGTCGCATCCATCAATGAATTCCCTTGTTGTTGCTCGCGAATGTATCGCTCCAGGAGGGCGTGCAGCCCCGCGCTGCAATCGCGCCATGCATCCGCTTCCCATAGATACACATGGGCCAAATGCAGAATTTTATCAGTGGGCGATATCTCGGCAAGCAACGTCGGGTGCCTACATACGATATACCCATACAAAATGAATGGTTGAATGATTCGATATATCTCGTTCATATATATATCGTTATGAACGACATTCCGGATATGATTTTACTATCCGGATGAGTATATATTATTCGTTTGGAAACACGATCCGGTTGATACAAAATCAGTTTTGAAAAACTTCTCCAAACAACACAACTGCATACGGACAAATAAATAAAATAAATAATATTCACGAAACAAACTACACACGCAAATGCCCACAGCCAATGATATATAATAAATACACTACCTTGTTTCTACCGTCGTAAGAAACTCCACCAAGAGACGCAACACTGTCGATTCTTCCTTCGAGTCTATCGAATGCAAGCGTGATGCCAACATAAACACCCAATCCGATGGCGGCGGCAACGATGGCGCAGCAGGCGTCGACGAACTTTGCACCAGTGTATGACACGTCCAAGTTTTGGTATTCGAAGCATGGGGGTTTAGCAGCGCTTCGTAGATGGCCACCAGCGATGGATGGACGAGAACACTCCGAAGCAACTGGCGCACAGACGTATGCTGGCCTGGTTGGGTATGCTGGAGCAACTGGTACGCCGTGGCTCTCGCCCAATCTGCCACGTCATTTGCTGAAGTTGACAAAGCCACAAAGTCGACAAGAGCTGCTAGAACTGTGGCCACGTCGGCTCGAGGCATGAAGAGTGTACCACCAGTCGAAACGTATGATTGCGTAAACACCACCGTGTCCGAAATGTCGACTAATCAGTAGTCGTCATATCAATGGTGTTATTAAAAACACATAACTCGTAAGTCCATTTGCATGCAATACTCTCGTGGTTTACAGAAAAGAATATATATATATATATACGCGCAGAAAAGAATAGGTCAAACGGATAGATCGATCCTGAATATCCGAGTAGTCGGCAAACACACAATTGCGACTCGTCCAAGGGTATCAAAATGTGTGTACAAAATGTACGACGAGAATAATAAATAGAGTATGCAGTCAACAACATACCATGCAGAATATATATTTATTTATATACTCAATTTAATACGCCGATAAAAAGAAAACACTAGTCACCATACAACAATAGTACTAGGATTGCAATCTTTCATATCGAAATCATCAATGCATATATATATATATATATTGTGGATTCGTACAAATTTCAGACCCTGTCGAATCACGCTATTGGCTACTCCACATTTTGAGTGGATTTGATTGGTTCTTACAAAAAGGACAAATATATTCAACCAATCAGAACGAACTCCAGCGTGATTATTCAATATGTTGATTCGACAAACCACGCCAAGTTTGCAAGTTTATCGCGAATTCACACTATATATATATATACCTTGCAGTTTCGGGTGCGGATGGGCGGCCACAACTCGCTGGAACGCCACGATCGCTTCAATAAGGGACGGCGGGTCGCTCATCGACAGTTTCAACGTCGGCCACACGGCCACAAACGGTGTCACATCCAGCGACGGAAATGTAAACACAAGCGGGTACGTGGCAGCGAGAAATCGCAGGGCAGAGGCGCGGGGTCCCGCCGCTTGGCTGGCCTGGTGAATGAAGAAAGGAAGAAAGGCTACGGCGGCGGATTGGTCGACTAGAAACACCAGCGCGTCCCAGATGGCATCCTGCATGACGGCAGGCCACGGCTCCAGAGGTACAGAGTCCACCGACTGGGTTAAGGCTTGGGCGGCGTAACCACAAAGCAGGGGGAACAAATATGCGATACTGGGCTGGTCCAGCTTGTATGACAGACACACCCGCCAAATGCGCATCGTCAGCGTCTACAAATATTTTTTTGATAAATCATATATGGGTGATTTTGTGGATAAATAGATTTGATTGTCGATTCGAAATATTTGGAGTGGGGTGGGTAGTACTCGCTCAATCGACACCAGACAATCGATCCAGTGGCCAATCAAAACACAGAATCAAGTAGCCAATCAAAACACAGAATCAAGTGGCTAATCAAAACACAGAATCAAGTAGCCAATCAAAACACAGAATCAAGTGGCCAATCAACTACTCGCTTCGACCAATGCAACATCGAATACATTCGTGCGTGACTGAAATTAGTGTGACACTGGACGATTTGTACATACAAAAGTCAGGACAAAGAATCGATCGATTGATACAGTATGGAAAACACAAGTCCAAGTTTTGGGTAAAAGGACACTATGTCATTGTGAATATGCGTTCGAAATCTGAACTTCCCCATAGAATCCAATGAATTCGCTCATTTTTGTAATGTCCTAGCCAATCAAAGAACACACAATTGAGGTAGTTGAACCAATCAACGATCAGCATGGGTTAGCCCCATCAAAGCAAACGTCTATTTCTGAACTGGGCATACCATCCATACATTGAAGAAACTTCAAATCGGACATACATATCGATTATTTCAAATTTCAGTGAAAAAGGACAATATATATGGATTGGTTGGTGTTGACCGTCTTAATATATTGTCGAAATAAAAATCACATAAATTGAACACAAATCCAAACCAAGCCACCTATTGTTGACAAGTGTGGGGTGTTGGATTATATATACAAATAGACGTATATATATATATATATATAGATATGGTCAATAATAAAGGGATAAATAGTACACTTAGAAGCGATATTTTTATAAGCATCGTACTTGCAAAGGAAGGAGTGCCGATGGATGCCGCATCGCCAAAAATACTTTGGTTGAGGCGAGGACGTGGTGGTCCATCAGTTGCTGGGCGTGGGCTTTATCAGCTTGGCATAACCGCAAGATCCACAGCAAGGTCGTGGCTGTTGCCTATATAGTCCGTAGTAGTTGGAAGATATATATTTTTAAATATATATATAAATAACAGATATAGGTGGATCTTGTACTAGAGAGCATACCTCCAAGTTTTGAACCAACGAGTCCACCGATGCCACCGATAACAACGCATTGAGCAATGAAAACACCGCCGTGCCTTCAAGCAGCTGCGCGGCCGCCCTTTTGATAAGATGGTGACGATGTATATTTTATCACTTTCAAATATATATATATTGCATCTTCGACAGAATTGGAGCGATAAATACCGTGGCGAATGCATGGCGATGACGACTCCGATTTCAAGCAATTGGAGTCGGGCGTGTTTAGGAACCAGAGGCGCTTGCTGAGGGTCAATCAGTTGCCTATCCGACACAAGTTTATACAAACAAACAAAATATTTAAAAAATATATATATATTCCCATTTGCATCAAATATATTTCCACACGTACAGCAATCGGGATTGAAATTGAGTAAACAGCAGCGCTTGAATCGGGTCTGCAATCTCCTTGACGTCCGACACCTCATCTTCGTCAATGTACGTCACCATGTGCACTCGGCCTACCGTACACGTGTGTTAGTACCCTGCGCCTAGTATTACTACTAGTACTACTACCACCTTGAGCATCGCGCGGAGTCCACTCCACCAAGTCGACGTCAGTCATCAAGTCAAACCCAACCAAGCACGCATGCAATGCATCGATTCCTCCAGCCAGCACGGACGCATTCGATTCTTCGCACGCCGACCGCGCAACTAGCGCCGTGGCCGTCGTGGGCTCGCTCGTCTAACGATGGAGATGATGTGAGAAATACAATACTCCCTCCGTTTAGTGACATATGATAAATATATATATATATATATGCTCCCTCCATTTAGTGACATGTATACAGTACCCCAGCTCGAATGGACTTGGCTAATACACTCAACGCCATCGTGCGCTGCGAACTCACGGTGCTCCGGGCCAACATGAGCAACTCTTCCATCGTGTAGCTACAACACATGACAGTGAACTCCAAGTGTTGAAATAGGATTGGCATACAAAAATACTCCCACTTTGGTCATATATACTATATACATATATACGTATGTACTGTACGTACTCTGCTACCAAGTGCATCAATACACTATATATATATTGTCAAGTCGATAGTATCGACAGACAATCGACCGACCAATCAAAACCCAGAACACTTTCAAGCGGCCAATCAAACTGCAGCAACAATCGAACTCGTGTATGGCTTGAACTCGTGTGAATAGTCTTACCAAATGGTACATACAAAATTCAGTACAAACAATCGACCAATGGATTTACTTGGTGAAGCAGCACAAATACTCGATATTTTGGTTGAAAGCAAAATATTACCTCGAAGTATATTCTATCCAATACAACATGACACGAAAGTTGATCATATCATTCAATACTATATATATATATATATATATATATATATCTGGTACCCCGCCAACTCTGGCTCCAACCCGTGGTGAAACAGACCCGAATGGAGCGGCACCGTGTCTGCCGTAGCTTTAATCGCATGCCCTTGAAGATCCACTCGACGTTGCTCATGTTGCTGTGCAAGTTTCTCGGACACTGGGTCTTGGTTTTGTTGGTGGGATGGAGGAAGGGATTGCATCCATTCATGCTTCAAGCGCTCTTCCTTGGGGAGTTCGCTCACGGCGCGGCGCAACGATTCGTCCGTCTGCGGCGCTAGCATGGGAATGTTTTGGATAGGTAATGTTTGGAACGAAGGTGGCGGAAGGTCGGGACGAGAGGATGAACATGCGACGGCTGGTGGGGCCGCGGCGGGAAAGTTGCGGCGTTTCTTAAACATGTCGAGAATCTCGGGAGGAAGCGAAGCATGCAATTCAGCTTGCGCTTGTCGAATTTCCTCCACGGACATGTTCGCGATCGCTGCATTGTTGTCGTCCTGGATATCGTTGGGAATGGGAGACGACGACGACTTCGACGATGGTTCACGACGGGCGGTGGACGGGACAGGAGAAGATGACTCCGAGCGAGCAGCTTGTTGATTGCGACGACGTCCAAAGAGACTCGTCTTCTTCGCAGAAGGAAACCCTCCGTCCGTGGGTGGAAGGGTCGACATGGGCATCGTTTTGACCGGCGTCGAGCGTTCCATCACCTGTGCGCGCATAATAGTCGGTGGAAGCGGCGCCGCTTGCGACGGAGATGGCGACACCTTTGGCTTTGCCGTATGTAGTTTGGCCGAGGAAGCTTTGCCGCTTTGCATGAACTGTTCTTGCTCATGCAAGAGCTTCGCGAGTTCTGCATCCATGTCCATGTTGGTTCAACGCAAATACTGTATGAAAGTCGTCGATGAATGGAGTTGAGTTATCCGGACATTCAGTGTTTATGCGGACTCGATGATGATGCAGTGTCGCCAAGGCGGCGGCGTCGACACGACCTGGAGCTGTGGGAGAAGAAGCAACAGTCCACACAGATGCATGCAAGCATAGCATGGACCGCCAACGTAGTGCAGTCCATGATAAGTCTGCTCGGCTGACGGCTTCTACTTTATCAGCTTCCACATAGCTGTGCATGTTTTTGCAAGTTCTGCTGCCGCCGATTGCGCATGCATGCCCATATAAGAGCTCGACAAAGGAATGATGCCTACAGTAGTCTAGGTAGTCACGGAAGTTGGTACAAGATCAAGGTCGAACGCGGTTTCACAGGCAGAAATGTACGACCCAAGCTCCATCTGGACCATAGTCTTGAACGACGCTCGTCCAGTGGATTGAAGAAACCGGTACATGTGTCGGCAATAACCAAAGTGATCGATAAAGATCTATATTCGTGTACATAGTGGAAATAAGCACCACTTCGGATGCGCGAGTTCAAATGTTCGTCTCGGCTTGCTGCGAGCAGTCCAACGTGGCCCACTTGGCAAAAAGACTTACGCAGCCAAGTGGGGAAAGCACTGTTCGAGAGCGAACCCCTTGTCCTGATGCTTGCTTACCCAGTGGTCGTTGAGTTGATTGCGCTTCACATTTAACATCACATTAGATCTTTCATTGAATGACATCAAGACACGACGTACCCCAACGTTCACCATGAACGTCATCATGCAGATTTTGCACTTGACGGCCGTGCGGTCCGCTTCCATCTTGGCGCGCATCTCAGGAGCGTTCTTTAGCTTAGCGTCCTTGGCCTTCTTCGCGTTGTTGCGTTCACGCGCCGTCGCACTCTTCTGCCCGTTGCCACCTCCCATGGTCACTCGCCGAGAATTCGAAAATGGCCTGCCGCACTGCTATCACCGACTTGTTCCATTAAAATTCTGAACACATTTCATTCGCCAAAAATAGTGTGAAAATATCGTGAAAAAACCTTGAATAATATGTACTACGTAGTATAAATCATATAGTTGATGTATCGAAAGTGAAAGGGATTTTCATTTGTCAATAAATAAAGTAAGAGTAAATTTCAATGTGGACTTATGATTGGTAGGGTCCTTTTACCCAAAATTTGGACTTTTGTGCTGATTTGATCGATGCTTTGTCCTGACTTTTGTAAATAAAGATCGTCCAGTCTCACACTAATATCAGTAATACACTAATTCGATGTTGAATTGGTCGAAGAGTGGATTTGATTGGCTACTTGTTTAGTATTCTGGGTTTTGATTGGTCGATCGATTGCCTAGCTTTGATTGAGTGAGCACCCCACTCCAATTTCGAATCTACTTAACAATAGCACGATCGTGCAGCCGATCCCACGGCACGACGCTCCACTTATATACACCTGAATACTCTCTATCTCCATCAGGCATTCCTCACTCGAGAAGGGGTATCAGGTACAGTCTTCTGGCTTTCTCACAACAGACACCCACGTACTACCGTAAGTAGTTTAATAGTCGAGCACACAAGAATGATCCATCCGGAACTATTTTTTCACTGTTAAATAGCACTGTTGGAAATGCAATGGCAAATGGTCTCGTTGACAGCAGCACTCCAACCAACGTGACAATGCTGGTTTGAATCTCAGCCCAATTACGCCGCCGCCAGGTTGGGGAAGGCTTGTTCGAGGGTGAACCCCTTGTCTTGGTGTTTGCTCACCCAGTGGTCGTTCAATTGGTTGCGCTACAATGCAGGCATCACAATTGTGTTCGATATCCCACCAGACAAGGCATAAGTCGACGTACCCCCACGTTGATCATGAACGTCATCATGCAGATCTTGCACTTCACCGCCGTGCGGTCGGCTTCCATCTTGGCACGGATTTCAGGGGCGTTCTTGGCTTTGGCATCCTTGGCCTTCTTCGCGTTGTTGCGGTCACGCGCCGCCGCACTCTTTTGTCCGTTACCGCCTCCCATGTCTGCTTGTCGTTGTCGAGAATTCGGAACTGGGCGAAATATTGGATTACTTTGAGCACCCCAACACCATTCGTCTGCGCCATGACACAACGTGGGAGAGGATATCCGGACGCATCCTCTGCAATTTATTTTTTAAGCTTGATTATATTATGAGTATTAAAATTGAAACACTAAATATATCCGGATATTTGAGTGTTTCGAACAGGCAGGTCAACATTGTTTAAAACAGTGTGATTAAAACGACCATATTGTTTAAACTATATGCGTTTTTCACTGGAACATCCCCGAAAAGTTGTTTAAACGTCCGATGAAATCGTTTAAACAAAAAACGTCCGAACCAGCAGTTCCACCGAAATCCAAGGAAGATCCTCGAACTGTCAAACTCTCAGACCTGCACCCTTCGACGCAAGTCACTCGTCCGTCATGCTTGCGACCTTGTCCCGCCGATTGTCGCGCGTTCCCCGCGTTCGCTTGTCACCATGCTACCGCCAGATGTCTACCTCTTTTGAAAAGGACGAAGATGGCATTGTCAACATCGACACCCAGGCCGATTGGGACACTATTCTCGCCACGGGTATGACAACGACCTTCTCCGTCCGTAGACTCGTACCAGCGCAATGTAACTAAGCGATGATTTAGGCAAGCCAATTGTGGCCGACTTTTGGGCACCGTGGTGCGGCAAATGCACCCAGATCTCGGGCTTTGTGAACAATCTCGCGGAAGATTTCCCCGACGTGGTTGGTACCTTCCCATGTTGCTACGTCCCATCATTCAGTAGTGTTGAGAGACGATATGTCATTGGGCTTCTTGTGGTACTTAGACGTTTGTGAAGCTGAATGCCGGCGAAGAAGGTGTGGGGCCGATCAAAGCCGCGTACAACGTGGAAGTGCTGCCTGCGTTCCTGTTCTTTAAAGACGGCGAGCAAGTCCACACGCCCGTGTTTGGGTACAAGAAGAAACCGCTCAAGGAGAAGGTCCAGTTGTTAGCAGCACCGTAATAATCAACTTTTCATCCACATATATTCCACGGCCGAGGACTACAAACGAAGGGAAAACTTGCTTTGAACATAAAGACTACCCCAGCACGACACCGGATATTGGGATAGTGACCGACTGCACTCGACGATTCCTGCAGCTCCTAGCATATGCATCTTAGGTATGCGACAGCGTTTTCACTTCAACCCGAGCCGCCGCCGCTACCTTTGACGGCCACTGCAGTAGAAACATGAGTCATGCATTGCCAAGCGCGTTTGTTGTCTTGAAGTCCATGGGAGGTGTCGACATCGCGGGAAACGTACTGTGAAAATGCCGACGTTCGCTCACCTGTTGGCGTAAGATGCAAGTTCGCTCACCCTTTGTCGCAAGATGCAGGCTGTTGATGCATGTGGCGTTCGTTGTCCAGCTACAGTAGCAGTACATGGGGCCAGAGAAACACATTCCATGTTACATTATTCAATAGAGACATAGAAAGATTTAGTATAAATATTCATTCTATTTTGTAAGAGATTTACTCAATTTCAAATGGTTTTATTGCTGTGTGTGATAAAACCACGATGCCCGCCGTGGTTTTATCACATTGAAAACATGTTGGCTCGGATTGCTCCTCGATGCATGCAGCGATGGCCATCGGCGGTGGTGGCGTCCATGAAGCCTCGCAGCTTTTCAGCCTTTGAGAAAGACGAAGATGGGATGGTGAACATCAACTCCAAGCAACACTGGGATGCCCTGGTCGCCACAGGTACGCTGTACACACACCTCTGGATCATATACGTTCATCGACGGTTCACGTGCGAGGATTTGTAGGAAACCCAATCGTGGCGGACTTTTGGGCTCCGTGGTGTGGGAAGTGCCGCCAAATCCAAGGTTTCGTGGAAACTTTGGCCGAAGATCACCCGCATGTGGTAAGATGACGACGATCGTAGTCGGGTGTCTAACCTGGTGCTCCATCAGACATTTGTACGAATGAACACGGGCGATGAAGGTGTGGAACCGATCAAAGCCGCGCTGAACGTGACGGTGCTGCCTTCCTTTCGCTTTTTCAACGGCGGAGAGGAAGTCGGCGCGCCTGTCACCGGCTACAAGAAGGACCAGCTCGAAGACCAAGTCACCAAACTCGCATTGTAACATAACTTCCGTCGAATAGTGCACAGCTTATCCGAGACGTTCGCTTCGTTCTCGTAGTTACAATACCTTTTTCCATGGGCAATTATCATGGTAGTGGAACAATCCGACCAGCCAGAAACGAACAACAGCTAAAGTGAGAAGCTTAGATCCGCGATCTTGTACGGCCGCGCTTGCGCAGACGGCCTCCCGGGCGCTCGGGGCCAACATAAGGCTTGGTCATCACTTCTTTACAGTTAGGTTTCATCCCACAACTTCATTCAATTTCATCCCATGTCATCCCAATCATTCACATGTCATCCACGCTTTGATTCAACAATTATATTATATTAACGATAGTATCCAAGGTTGGTATGAATATTAAATGCTGTCCCGTACTTAAGTACTATTTTAATACTATTAATAGTATTAGTAAATTAGTACGAAGTACTATTTTAATAGTATTCATAATAAATAGATATAGTATTATTACGTGGCCAGCACCAAGTTGTGCGCGTGAATGTACGCGACAGTCGTAGCGTCATGTCCTCGCAACGACGCCAGCTCGAGCACGTGAACCGATGCCCCATACCACGCACTAGTACTACTACTACTAGTACTACTAGCAGGTTCAGTGTTAAGGCGATGGAGGTACGCAACGACGTCGACGTGGCCATGGAGCACAGCCCACTCCATAGCATTCAGCTCCATCGCCACCGCTTCGCCATGTTCACGACTTGCACGTCCAAGTGCATTGTCACCGTTGTTGTCACCGGTAGTATTGTCATCGGTTACCGGGAGCACAAGTCGACGGGCGCGACGGTTATGGTTGGTCAAGGTCAGCCATTCGTGGCGGTAGCCACTGGTCAACGGCACGAGTTGCGACGACGCATCGACGGAAGGGGCTGAGACGGTCACGGGGAAGGCAACGAGTTGCGCGGAACTAGTAGTACTAGTAGCAGTACTAGCCACCCCACAATTACGATGGGTTTGCAGGTACGCCACGACATCGACGTGGCCATGGGCGGCCGCGAAATGCAGCGCATGGCGCGTGAACCCCTCGGGTCGGTGGGTGTGTAGAAAAGCCACCACTTCCAAATGTCCCCCCGCGGCCGCAAAGTCGATCGCGTCGGTGGAGCACCCTTCAAAGCGGTGGGTGTGTAGAAACGTCACCACATCCAAATGTCCTCCCGCCGCCGCCAAGTCCATGGCGTTGCGTGTGCATCCGTGGCGGAAGTGGTCGTGCATGAATTGCACACATTCGACGTACCCCGCCTTCGCGAACAGGTCCATGAGGGTGCGAGAGAGTACGAGGGGATGAGCGTGGTGTAGCTCGGACACGAGGTACAACCGGTCCACAGGATGGTCGCTCGGCAGCGCATACACGATAAAGTGTGCTTTCGCATACGGTCCTGTCTGCCGCTGCCACCTACACAGCAGGTACCGAACCATACGGCACATTCCCGGCTGGAAGACTGTCATTTGGCGTAGCAGGTCGACGTTGAGCAGTACCGACAGCACCTTGTGCGTTTTCCGGAACGTCGAGGTCTGTCGAGGAAGGCGATGGTATCGCCACGGTTCCGTCATCCAAGCCGGCACCGACGAAGTAGATGTACGCACGTCGTCGTCTTCGATAGACGTGCAGGCACCCATGTTGCGTTTTGACCTATGAGATATAGCCAAAAAGTTGCTACTGGTATATGTACCGGTATCTTCGCAACGACGACGATGAAAGGATATGCTGGACTACAAATAACGATTGTTACTTGTAGAACCCCAGTACAAAGTACTTGTATACTGAGCAATGTATGACGACAGTGTTACTTGTACACCCGACGACAAGAACGTTGAAGGTGAGTGTAACGACGGCGACGACACACGAAGAAGTGAAACGTGCACATCCAGCAATCCAGGCGAGAAAAGGACAGGCATTAACGATGTAGGTACTAGTATACGGTATGCTCTGCACGTTTAGTACAGTGTAGTGGTAGTTATTGAGTAGTACTCCAGTTAAGTTTAACGTAAGTTAGTTAATGGAACGAGGACTGAAGGGGGGGCTTGGCTACATACCATTGCAATAACTGCGTACTTTTTGGTGCTTTTGTTCACGTGTGGTACACAACGTGTTTTACTACGTACTGGTAGATACTACTGTACTGTACTCCAAGCAGCAAAACTGTATACCACCCATCTAGACAGGAGGACCAACAGAAAAATAACTCTATAAACCAGTACCCTTGTATAAATTATATTCAACCTGTTGTAACCGCTTACCCTAAACACTAAATTTCAATGCTCAAACACATACATACTTTAAGATAAACAAAGTTATCCTAAATTGGTTATCAAAATGTGAGTGCAAATGCTTAGAAAGTAACAAATTTACCTGTGATGTTCTTCGTCTAAACTGATAATTTGATTATGAACTGTAAGCGGCACTATTCAAAACTCAAATATCGGACTCAAAAGTTATGTCCATTCTACTCCGACGCCCAGTTATCTTAAATTGGTTTTTTACGTTATTACTGTAAGTTACCGGTATCATTACCGGTGTATTGAAATCTAAAACCAAGTGAAATGTTAAGATCCCTTGGTAGCAAGACTGCAGTTTTTGGCTAGACAGGCGGCAACAATATATTCACTGCAAGGAAGTTGTTCCCATGCAATCCAGGGCAGCTCCAGAGCCAGCGAGAAGACCAGGGCGGGCCCACAAGCTCAACCTTCACGTGTGGTATCTGTAGCTGCGCGGGAACTTGTTGACTGTCTCTTTTAGCATAAATGTGTCTGATTCGTCAAGTTTCGATTGTGCGTGCGTTGGAGGACTTTGACCTCCCAAGCACTTTACTCTAGCATTCGATCTACAGTAACGTTACCCACCAGGGGCGTCGAAAGCTCCTGGTTAAGGGTACCAAATATGACTACTTACGCAGGGAGCTCATGGAAATTGCAAATGAAACACGCAAATGGTGGCGCCATACAGTATGTATTACACTGCACTCAGCTTGGAATAATCGAGTGCGACCACTCGCACGCCAAAGAGCAACGCGTAAACTTGCACCGCGTAACAACTGTATCTCTTTGGCTTCGATTTACAATGTTAATCTCATCTTCACGACCGTGTGAGATACAGTACTGTAGCTTGTGAACGATAAGAATTGTTTACAGTGTACCAGGTTCTTGCCTCGACGATCGATGGTGCATTCTTGTGTCATTCCGAGCCTTCAATGAAACGAATGGTTTGAAATCGACCACGCAGTCGGGACTACATACAGTACGGTACGGTACATACGTGGTAATGTACACTTTACGTGCTTGCTCTACGTGTTGCACCGCAGTTGACCGCCCCACCAACGAGACGACCAGAATATTATCAACATTGAAACCCCCTAATAGTCAAGTATACTATTAATACTGTAACTTTACCTTCGGTGTTGGGAGCTCCTACACTTCAATCAGGACAAGGCGCCCCCACGGGGATGTCCGTTGAACATTTACCGCGGGGGAATTATGAAGAGGATTTAGTGCAATGGCGAGGCGGAGTCACATTCTCGTGCACATAGGACTAGGGAATCACAGGACGAGATCGCATGTGTATCAAGGCAAAGTATTCGAACATCGTCGAACATACATGGATGCCAGTACGACGTCGGGGGGGCGAGGAGAAGGGGCCTTGGTGGCCGATTGTTCCTCTCGTGGGTACGCCGGGGGGACAACTCTTGTAACATCCCATTGCTTTGTAAAGTTGCTGGGGCTTCGATGGTCGTACTGTAGGAACGTCGCTGGTTGGTGATGCGAATAGATGGCTGTGTTCGATGTATTTAGTAGGGCTGATGAGAGATCGAAATCCACCCTTTGCACAGGGGCGACCTATCGACCGCAGACAAAGGTGTTTCGCTTTTGGCGCCGTCAACCGGGACTCAACATTTATTGACGTGTACTGAATATTAAGACTAACGTTAGGTTCATAATCGGTCGGGGGGGTTACGTTGCTGGAGAAAATAATTCACCTAGAGCACACTCAGCGAAATGTGATGCCGACAAGGGGGAACTAGGGGGCTCTACCGTACGGCCGTGTGTGTTGATGGATTCTACGTTATATAATGGGCCATAATAATGTGGATCAATATTACTATTGAGTCAATTATGCGGTGCGAACGCTCAACGATCACAATGCCATAGTGCTGCAAGCTCAAGAAATGTACACAGGCATGTGTAACAACGTCGTTCAATCTCTCGTGAAAACACTATGTAGGCGGAAATGCTACATGGACATCAAATTGAGCGGCCAATAGATGCAGATACCACCAGTATTGTTTGTTTTCACGCCCGTATAATATATATATATATATATATATATATATTATTACTACGTAGTATTTGCTTGTAATGACCATAAACTCTCTAATTTTAGAGTTTTCGGATGTGACCTCTTTCTTAGACTTCGAATACAATGTAGCAAATAAACGTTCACGTTCGAGCGACTTTATGATCAAATGTCGCTCCAACAGTCAGGAAAGTCGCACAACGCTCTCGTGGACTCTACACTCTCAAATATTACATCATTTCAGCATATCAACGCTAGAATGATGATACCCCACGTTTGGAAAATCTAGTCGGTCCATGGATTTGTCGTATGTTGTTTGAATGTTTATGATTGGTTGTCTAGTAAAGGGGGATGGTACAGCACACACGAACAGAGTCCCCAATGCGTAGCAACTTAGGGCATTGTCTGTTGTCGAGCGTAGTCCACATCGTGGGCGCCCCCGTGGAAACGCACGGGCCCTTGTAGCCGGGGCACATCCGGGTCAAGATGGCGCGGGACGAGTCGCCGCGCTTGATTTCAGTCTCGGGGCATCCGGCTCCGTAATATGACGTGGGGGCTGGCGTCGTGGGGTCGGTGGCAACGCCGTCGTCGGTTTCGAAGTCGTCGGCGGCTGACGATTCCGACGAGGGCTGCTCCGCTGCAGTCGTCGTGGGGGTGGTCACGTCGTCCGTCGCGGAGCTGTTGGTGGCGTTGGTGGCGCCATGATTTACGCGGCGGCTAGAGTGCGTAACTGCATCTGACACCACCACTGGGACATGAGGGAGGTAGGTGCCAACATATGCCCGTACACGGCCGACGTACGCAGCCAAGTCGTGCCACGACTGACCATGATCAAGCAATCCTTCGTTGGACACATGGATCCCAGCCACGGACACCATGAGGTGGGGCGCCACCGCTTGCAGCGCGGCGAACTCGAGCTCCTCGACGGCGCTCGTTTCCTTCAAACCAAGCCAGACACGAGACGTGCTATCGTCAGCGATAGCATGGAGGAGCTGTGGGACGCAGCCACTCGCCATCGAGTTCAGTCGCACTAAACCGATGACGTCGACCTCCCGACGAAGCACCGCCTCGTGTTTGCACACGCCAAGCTTGTCCCGCGGATCGTACACTACGCCATACGAACTCTGAGATGGTTCGTCAGGATATGCTGCAGCTGTTGCGACGCCCAAGACTGCCACGATGGCAGCAACGAGTGCAGCTGCTACCTTCATTGACAAGGTGGAGCTTCAAGTGTGGAGAATCGATTTGTGATCATGTGCGTTCGTGTACAGTAAGTACGTAAGTACTGTGTACCCACCCATCTGTCGGTACTGAAGGCAAGGTCACTTGACACGACATACTGAATATCTAAATATATGATTCAAGGAGTAATTTATATACACAGGTTACATAGAAAAGATACTACTATTAATAGTATACACAAGTATAAGGAATGCGAATTGGTGCATGTTTTAAAAATACAATATATATTATTATAAAGGTTGTCAAATTGCTCTCAGTTTTGTGTTCGTACTGTAGTATTAATAGTAAGTGTGTACTGTACGGTAGCCAATCGGTATGGTAGTATTAATACAGTGGCTAACTGTAAACGAAACCGGGGCAAACTCGATAATTTTTCAGATCCTATATTATCAAAAGTCAAGGTGTTTTCAAAATTTCAAATCAAACTCCATCATAGAATATTGACACAAGCATGCACGTAATCCTAACGCTACCGTGTACTACACGTGTAGCACATCCATGTGGACGACTCCTCGATGAATTTATATTGTATTGACGAGGTGGACGAATAAGATGTGTCATCTCCTAATAATATTGCTTATATATTACTACTAGAACCACCAAAGTCGAATACTTTGATGGTCGCCTATTTTTAACTGTCTGGATCAAACTGATTTCGACGGAAACTCGACGATTCTCATACTGTAGCTCTCAGTTATTGCAAACTTTCAGAAAAAGAGTCCCCAGAACCACATTTTTAGTTATTTGGGCAAAATATTGAATTCACCAAATTTTGGATCCAGACAGCATTGTTTTACTTTTACTTTTTGCCGATTAGTTAGAAATCGCCAAAATATCGAAGACTTTGCCATATTTTGGACATCCAAACTCATCCGGGAACTTCGAAAACTATTACTGACATTGCCGCATAAAAATATTATAGTACAAGAGGTGTCTGACTCGAATAACCGTCCGATCCCAATTACGCTATACGGTATCTACGGTGTATTTTTCACTCGGGAGAATTATATCACCGTTAACGTGCATCCATTCGCGCTGGACCGGGTGAATTGCAGTAGGGTCAAGGTCAATGGTCCAATTATGCAACACTAGCGTTTCTTCGATAACAAGAGCCATTTGTTGAGGAGAATGAACTCCCACGGCTTTTTGAACAATCGAATCTTGTTCTTCCACAACAACAATCGGTGCGGGAGTGCTGAAAATTCTAGTATGCCTCTGCCTCACACATGTTGGATATGATTGGCAACGATGTTAACACGTGGGACAGTAGCGTGTAGCCAGCGTCATCAACAATATCCATTTCTGCCGCCACTGGCTTTGATTAATGATGGCCACACAGATTCGCCGTCGGCGACATAGTCATTAATTGGTGCGGCTGGGGTTGAACGCCCATCGAGCAAAAGCAAACGAGGTTCTATGGTAGCGACCGAGCAAACTAAAGGAATGAAGTTCATTTGAATATGTGCGTCGGCTACATTGAATGGCTCCACGAAAAGTACAGATCTCACGGATTGGTAGTCCAGTCTGCTCCGTGATAACTGCATATGATTGGCCGGTTCTTGGACAATCAAGAACTGTACGACCCTCGAGATTAATGACCAATAAGTTGTTAATTCCCATAAGTCGCTCCAAACAGTCAGAACACCCTGTTCTGTCATGAACATCACCACTGCCCTGAAGCCTCAGGTAGCAGCATTGGCTGCAGCTAGTAGGATGTTTTTGTGCCTTTTAGAGGTTTTTTCTCAGATAGTAGATAGCCAGCCATATCCACGGTACATCATTAGGATGCCGTGTCCTGATTGGCTAGCCATTAGCTAGTCCGTCTAGCCTTTAGAGCCAGTTGTTCTCATTGGTAGCTAAGCTAATTCACTTTCCGTTTCACCCGCAACCACCCAGTGTTCCCCCTGGCTTTTGCACCTTTCCACTGGTTATGAGCTCCACCGCATCCTCTGCTGCGGCTACCCGCCCAACCTTCTCTGTCGTCCACCACCTGCGTGGACTTGACATTTTTGACGAGTGGCACTTTGAGTTGACCACGATCGTCCTCCATGGAGAAAAGGCCTGACCACTCAGGCGACGCAATGCACTGGCGTCGAAGCCAAGTGGTCCATCAAGGGCCTGACGCGTGCATTTCGCGTCCTCAATGGCGACACCAAGAAATTGACACCAAGAAATTGCGTCGGCACATCGACGACGCAGTCCTTCGACCGTCATCTGAGCCACCACTCTCGCCACCAGTCCTGGATGACGTGGCGCCCTAGCTCATCGATCCCATCATGGAATACCTGGCCGAACATCGTTCAGCCAAGTTCCTCGAAGCTCGCGCGGCCAAAGCCGCGCTAGAGCACCTCCTGAAATCCGAACACGCGGATGTCGAACGATCCATCTCGTTGGTCTACGCGTCGCTGTCGGAGGCACTGCGCCGCGACGCCGCGGCCGCAAACCTCGGTCAATGCGCTCACTGCATCATCGAGTGGCTCCGCGGCAAGTTCTGCAGCGAAGAGCAGAAGTTTGCGTCCGCAGTGGACGTCTACACCAAGTTCCACGGCTTCAAGTTCGAGCGATATTGCTCGCTTGACAGCAGCCTGGCCACTTTCGACAAGCTTCGAAAGGCCGTCGAAAAACGCGAGAGCAGGACTCTCAGCGACAGCCACCTTACGTCGTCCGGCAGCTCAGTCAGTTCTTAACGAACCCCGGCCCAGCCCATTGGCAGGCAGCCAAGCGAGCACTTCGCTATATTCGAGGCACGATCGACTACGGTCTCGTCTTGGGTGGTGAACACAATGTCACCATTCCGCTGCACGGATTTACTGACAGTGACTACGCTAATTGCGTTGACACTCGTCGCTGCGTCGCCGGCTTTGTGACATTCTACTGCAACTCTGCGATCTCATGGATCGATAAGTGACTACGCAGCATAGTTCTCTCGACTACCGAGGCAGAACTTATGATTCTGTGTACAGTAGCACAAGAATGCTTGTACATCAAGCAGACAGCAGGTGAGATGGGTCATCCCATCACCTCGGCTATTACCCTCCATGAGGACAATCAAAGCACCATCCAGATAGTGAACAACTCTGGTCACCATGGGTGCACCAAACATATTGATGTGCACTACCATTTCATCAACGACCTCGTCGAACAACAAGTGTTTCGACTCGAGTACACAGATACACGACTCCAAGTCGCGGATATCTTCACCAAACCGTTAGACATTACAACGTTCTGCGCACTGCGCAGTAAACTACTCCCTCCGATCCAAAAAGGTTGCGCGACTTCGGAATTTCACAAATCCCTCCTCGAAAAAAAGTACTCCGCACACCCTATATTTTAATAGATATTGAGATTCAAGGTTGTAACGTTACAGAATGTGTGTCACAGAACCATCCAAATTTGCGATTCATGAAAAACCAACACAAGCAAATCCAGACATACTCCGGAGTACTAACGTAATAGACCTCAAATACGGCATTGGAACCTCTGTTTAAAAAGGACTTGCGTGTTGTATCAAACACAACCGCATTTCGTCAATGCCCTTCGTCTCCTACCAGCTTAATTTGGCGGGTGAGGTATGCAGTGACTCACTAACAATGCTGCGCCAGCCACCACAACCACTGAGACTACTACCCCAGTGACCATGCCCGCTGTGCCATATCAAGAATATCTTGGAGGCATTCGCCGCCTATGCCGCAACTACCTAGTATTAATAACGTTTACTACTACTACATTTTGTAGAGGGTAGTTTAAACAAGCTTAACAGCTGTAAATTTGATCAAATGGATTCGAAAGTGTCAAGTGGTGCTTTTCCCTCGCCTGTGTTCACACCTTTGTCCTCGCCTATTTCTCCCAAACTCTATCGCCTAGTCTATCAACTCTGACAGGCCGAGACAGTGGCTGCTTTATACCTGCGTGTTCTCCATATTCTTCATGTCGCAACCCTACCCTAGTGATTGCTCACCCAATCACGGCTCTAACACAAGGAAAAGAGCGCTGATTCTCACAAGTCAGTGTTTCCCTTTGGCTGAGTTTTAGCCAATAGGAACGACGCTAGATAGTTTGTAAACGACTGAACCTCACTTTTCGTTTTCCCCTGTCCCGCACACTTGGTTTGTCTTGGATACTCTGCGCAAAGTTGCTACACGCCTATCACCCTCGCCTACCTCCTGTTTCTTGCTTCGTGACAGGTTATGAGCCTTCCTGCTTCGACCATTATCGCCTACTCCGGCATTCTCCTTGACGACGCCTACAAATTCTATGCTGCGTGGCGCACCACATTTGAAGAAGCGGCCGTGACCGCAGGCTTCTTCTCCCTCTACACCAACGAGACCTACTGCCCCACGCGCATTGAAACCGACGCCTACACCATCAGCCAGGCCAAACTCCAGGTTGACAAGATACGCAATGATGCGAAGTACTCCACCGACGGTTATGCTGGTGACGCCTTGGAACAGCGCCTTGAAACGGTGAAACCCCTCGAACAAGACTTCACGCGCAAGTTTCTGGACGAGTATATCGCGGAGTTTCTCGCCGCCTTACGCGTCCAAGCTAAGGCATTTCTTTTCAACTCCCTCACGCCTATCCTCCAACAAGTCATCGGTTCCCACGCCTCTCCCTTCTCTCCCTGGGCCGCTCTAATGGCGCGCCATGAAGCCGGCACCTGCGATCCCATGATCCTGATTGCGAGTCTCACTAAACTCAAGTAGAGTGAGGACATCAGTGCCGAGACACTCTTCACTACTCTTGACGATCAGAGCAATTTGATCGAAACGGCTATCCTCCCTGCGAACGCCGACGCTCTCACGGCTTGCGAAGGTCATGTGAAAACGTTTGAGCTCTTTCGAACTCTCTTCTACTCTAACGCCTTTGCCGCCAACAAAGACGTGTGGGATGCCGTTTGCCAGCTTCAATTCAAGGCGCGCGAGGATGGCTCTGAATGCACGTTTACTACCATCAAAGTCACTATTCTCCACACCCTAAATATCGCCTCTCGCCGC